TAATTACCTGCGAAACGTCATACTCAAGTTGTAAATATTGTGGGTTTACTTTCCAACAAACCGGTCGGTATGCTGATCTAGTAACTAATTAGGATGTTTCGTTTACGTGACAAACTTTACCAAATGTCTGTGTCGGGTGGTGGGTTTAACGGCACATTTATATTTATGCAATCTAACCCCCCAAAAAAACCTTTATTATGGATAATATCCGGGAATGTTAATGTCCAGGAAAGAGATTTCTCAGAACAGCAGCTGCCTGACGCACACGAACAATCGCGCACACACACAAAATCATCACCCACGCGCACACACCGGATCATTATCATTACACTAACACCATCATCATACACTATCACACCATACAATCAACTAAACTTTTTATTTTACCAGGTAAGGCCTACTGAGCTATGTAACTCTTTTTCAGAAGCTACCTGGCCACAAACGAAAGCTCAACAAAGTGACTTATCACGTGGAAATGTATAGCAGCCAATAACTAAAAACACGTGGATGTTGATTCTAAATGTACAGCAGGCGATGGAACCCACGACCTCTTGCATACCAAGCGAGGGACTTAATATCTCGCCACCATCATTGCATGCACACCATCACGCACCATCACGCACCACCGCACACCATCACACACCATCATCACTATCAAGCACACAGCCATTTTGCACGCGGGCTCCAAGTCCCCTTGGAGTGGGGGACAAGAGGGGGACAAGGGGGGGGTGCGGGGAAATCAAAGAGGGGCGAGGGCGGAGTGGAAGCATTGAGCCAGGCACGCGGGGAGGGAGAGAGAGGGGGAGAGGATCGGGATGAGGGAGACCGAGGGGCACGACACAGTGAGACGCGCCCCCTCGGGCATCGCCACCGGCACGAGAGCGCGAGCTGTGACCCCGTGTGAGACGCTCACAAGTAACAGCACAACTAAATCGACAATAATACGCCAGCAGTAAGAATGTGCAGTCAGTTGTAGGTGCACGGTCTTCCCCGACGCGTCAGTCGGCCGCACGCCGGCGGGGATGCCAGCCAATGGGGATGGTTTTTGCCATACTTCACCACGCTGGTCAGCGCGGCCTCCCCGGCACAAGTTCAGATGTCGCTCTCCACCGACGTTTACCGTGAACCAAGCCGGGGTCGCAGAGTTCAAACGGCAGCATGTGCGCAACCACGATTACATCTCAGCAGACCCGGACAATATTTCAACACCCGGCACACCGCATCCAGTATACCCCGCTCACTCTCTCTCTGTGGCTGCTGGGCACGTGCCGACGACATCGGTCGAGCAGCGACCCCGAGAAAATAATCCGTGCAGAATCATAGCCCCCGGGCACGACCTCGATGCCACCTCGCAGCCCGTACACACGCGCACACAAAGACAAAGGTTCTCCCGTGTAGCCCACACCCGCTGTTGGGGCAAGTGCTATTCGCGAGGCCACGTGAAGGCCGGACGGGCACACGAGGGGGTCGGCGTGGCCAGGAAACCACGCCACCGCTGACATCGCTTGGCCCGACCTTAGCCCTGCGAGGAACGCGTGTGTAAATATATTTATATATGTTTATATATGTGTGTATATATATTCCCCTGGTCTCCCCTGCACATTACGCCGCTTTGCCGGAGCGAGCCGTCGGCTGGTTACACACAATTCATCATCACCAGCAGCAGCTATGATCGAGCCGCTGCTGGATGAAGGCCATCGCCATCTCTCACGGTGCTGCGATGCGACGCTTCACACCGATCTCATCGTGGAGCAAACACCACCAATGCACCCCCCCCCCCCAATACCACCAATGCCCCCAACACCTGCAATGCCCCCTTGACACCAGCATTGCCCCACCAAAACTCGCCTTGCCCCTCTCACCAGGGCATCATTTCAGCCAGAGCTGTCCGGCGCTGAGTTTCCGGAAAATATTTCTTGAGGGGGTGAGGGCGAGGAGGAGGAGAGTCACGCGGGTTTGGGGGGGGGCCTGGGAAAATATTCCACGATAAATTCAGCCACACCCCTCACAACCGCCAATGCCCCTCCAAGCAGCAATGCCCCCCCCCGCCCCAGCCTCACTCGGAGCCGAGTGTCAAGCCACGCCGCGGTGCGGGAGCAGTGAACGACGCTACCGCCGCCGCTGCCACCCCCTCCTCGCTCCACCCGACGTCCCAACGCTCCCCGAGTCCCTCCCGGTCGAGTGAAGAATCTAAACTATCAAAGTAAAAGGGACCTGGCTATCACAAATGATAGCTCTACGAAGTGCCTCATCACGTGGCAATGCATAGCGGCCAAGTAAACGCGTGACGTTGATTCTCAACGTCGCCTGCGCAGCGCGATTCTGATAGTGGCGCCACTCCACGTTGCTCCGAGTCATCTCCCCCCCCCCCCCTCCCACGGCGCAGATTCGGGCTTGCGCGCACATCCGATTCTAAATGTGGAGGGGAAAACCCCAGAGGATCCGGAGAAAAATCCACGCGACCACGGGTAAGAAGAGAGCGAGAGAACACGCAAACTCCAACAAGCATCGTCAGAGTCGGGATCGAACCCACGACCTCCTGCACACCAGGTGAGGTAGTGAACATCTCTTAGCCACCGCGGCGGACAAGACACACCGTGGCGGTGCGCCAAACTCCGATCGCACCGCTGGCAGAGGTGGCACCGCGACGTTGGCGACACGTCCACCAGGAACGTCCGCGGTGCTCGGAGCGTGCCCGGCTCCTCGGGGTCCACGACGCATCGGAACGAGCGGCGGACACGAGCCCGCTCAGCAGCGGCAGACTACACACGTTTGGCAATAACGCCGCCCCACCCGGGGAATAGTATCTCATAGGCAACGGTTCGAGCAATGGCCCTTCTTCATAGCAGGCAGATTCATGTACGCAGAACTTCTTTGGCATCGTACGTAGCCGAACCGCGCTCATCGGAGGTGCTGGGCCGAGTCGAACTCCAGTCGCACCGCCGACGACCGGAAGTTCAAGCGAAGCACCCGGGACGAACGTTCGGGCGCAGCGCCTCGCCCACGAGCTCCTCCATCATCACCGCCGCCCGTGGTCAATCCACTGCTGGATGAAGGCGTCCCCTCGTCGTGTCGATCATTCGGCATTGTTTGACCGTGGGGGGTGGGGGGGGGTGCTGAGAAATCGCTCGCCACCGATGATGGCGCGGGAACCAAAAGCCGGCGAGGAATCCGGGTTCGGCGTGGGGTGAGACAACCGTTGCGCCACCGCTCCCCCCGCCGCCCCTCCCAACCGGGGAAAGGTTACAGGACAATGTAATTGGTTTTTTGACCTTAGACTTTCAAAGAATACAGCGCTTGTGAGAACTCGAGGCGTGCGTCAGCTTCAAAGGCTACAACAAAGCCCCCCAAACTCTCGCGATTTTGCAAAGGGCCGGTTAATATTCGTCTTCATTAACCGCTTGGAGCGGTGGGACGGCGGTTCGCGCACTGCGCTGCTGAACCCTGCCCGGCCACGGCAGTCAGGTTCCAGGCCACAAAGCCACCAGCGGCATCTGAAGCGATCCTGGATGGTGGCCCGTAGCTCAGACACCCGGATTGACCAGCGTGGCGATGTATTTCAATTATAACAAACACATTTTCTTATTTTACCAGGTAAGGCCCACTGAGCTATGTAGCTCTTTCATGAGAAGTGACCTGGCCATCACAAATGATTGCTCGACGACGTGGCTTATCATCACGTGGGAATGTTTCGTAGCAGCCAAATACTCTAGACGCACGTTTCTGAATATGGAGGGAGCAGCCGTTCGGATTTTCCGGTTTGTAACTGCAGGATAATCAACTAAACTAAAAGTGGAAGGGAAAATCCCTATGTGCCGCAGAAAAATCCACGCGACCACAGGAAGAGAGACACCGCACACTCCAAATATACAGCAGCGGGCGTCAGGCTCGTAATCAACCTCACGACCTCCTGCATACCAGGCGAGGTAGTTAACATCTAGCCACCGACCGTGTCCACGGCTTGGGTATCATAGCGCCTTCATCCACACAGCATCGTGAGAGCGCGCTTGTAAATAACCCACGGCGTCATCCAGCCGACACCGACTGCTGGAGACTCACACGGCCGTGGCTCGGAGTTCGTCTCGAACCCCGTTTCTCAAAACAGAGGTCGCTGCTGAAGCAGCAGAAGGAATTCTCAGCCTGCGTGGCTCTGTCGGGAAACATCAAAGCGGACCCCGCCATCGGAGGGGAGGAGGGAGGGGAGGGCCCGACTCACGCGGGGACAACGCCTCGGCCACGAGGTCTCCACGAGCCGAGCACCAAACCCACGATGTCCGACGTTTCGCTCGCCGCGCCTCTCCGTTAACCCAATTTTTGCACGCGCAAGAGCGAGCCATCGTTCGGGCAGCTTATTTACAATCGCTATCTGGAGCCCTCTGTTAATCCACTGCTGGATGGATGGAGTTGTTCCTCCCTAGAGTTCGTGAAGTATATGGTCAGAAACCGAACAACCTGACACGCGGCGCGGCGTAGGCATTCATCCAGCAGTGGATTGACAGGCCATGTGAAAAAAAACACCGTGGAGAAATCCAGTCGCAGTAGGAAGACGCTACCCACCATCCGGCACGTGAAGCGAAACGTCAGACATCATTCTGAACAACACCCGGCGGTGCGACCCGAAAAACACATCTGGGACCTATCCGTAGTACAACCTCGAAAACACAAGCAGCGGCAACTACCCCCATCAGAGACAAAGAAATACCCCGTGTAGCCTTCACAGACTGTTGGGGCAAGTGCTGTCAGCGAGCATCTATAAAGACCGGCACAGCACACGAGTTGGTGGGTGGCCGCCTTTGTCTCCCCATGTTTACCCACCGCACAAGGTACTCGTTTGAGGCTGAGTCGACCTAGTGGAGGCCCAGGACCGGTTCAGATCAATCGTCACCGTTGGCCGTGAGCGGGAAATCGAACTCGGCTCGCCGGGTTCGTAGCGCCGCGTAGCGCTAACCACTGCACCACCGCTCCCCCACCACCCACAAGGCGGCGGCCGCGCGTCTCACCTGCAGGATCTTCCCCTCGGCCCCGCTCAGGGCCCCCGAGCGGCTGTACGAGCCCTGCAGGTCGGTGGGCCGCGTGAGGTAGTTCCCGCTGCTGGGTCTCGGCTCGTAGAGGATCACCTCGATGAGGGCCGCGTCCCTCCCGGGACTCACGGTCAGCGCGCAGGAGGGCGGCGGCGCGAGCAGGAGGATGAGCAGCAACAACGGCGGCGGCGGCTGGGGAGACGGATGAGCACGGTGACGGTGGTGATGGTGGTGGTGATGACTACGGTGGTGGCGGTGGTGGTGGTGATGTTGGTTGAGACGAGGTTGAGGTGGCAGCCCGAGGCTGCTGCTGCTGCTCGAGTCCGGCGGCAGCGTCATCATCGCTCGCCGCTCTCCCACCTTCCCCACCGCATACTGTGCATCAGCAATGCCGTGGCCTCTCGTGCAGGGGCCGTGGTGCCCTGAAAGCTTCCGCCCCGCGTTCAATAACAACGGGCGCAGCAGCAGCAGCGGTGATCGGTAGCGCGCCCTCAATCACGACGATTCAGACAACGAACGCGGACGGAAATAGCATTAATGTTGATAATCGAGTATTCATCGTTAAATAATCGCTAGTCGGACACTAGTTCTTCGGTTGCTAGTTCCACGTCCGCTGAGAATTGACGCTGGTTCCGCGCGTCCCCCAAGATTGTCGGCGCGCGCGCGGAGCTCCGCTGGTTCCTGGCCGTGCGCGCTATGGATCACATCGCCTCCGTGTTCCTTCTCCTCCTCCTCGCTCTCTCCCTGCGGAGCCTCGCTCGCTGCGAATCTCAACGCGCCTCTCGCCACGTCTCCTCCGCGTCTCCTCCTCCTCCGACCCTCCCGCTCCCCGCGTCCGCCTCGACGCGCTGAGACTCGGAGCCGGAGCGCCCCAGTCGATGGTGGAGTCGCAGCTCTCGCTCCCTTCTCCTCCCTGCCTCTCCCCCTCCGTGTCTCTCCTCTGCTGCGCCGCCTTCCAAGCAAGCGGCACGGAACCCGCGGACTGGATTTCGCGGAGTCGGAACTCCGCGGACCCGGACTCCGCGGAACGTGGTCGACGTCCTCCCCCCACACCCCCCTTCGTGTGTTGTCGCCTTCGCCAAAGACCGCAGAGCCCAGGGCGGGCGAGAAACAGGGCAGAGAGGAGAGAGTGGGAAGAGTGGGAAGAGTGGCAGCGGCCGACGCGGCGAGCTGACAACACGGAGAGAGAGAGAGCGCGCTTGCGAATGGGAGAGAGAGAGGAGGGTAGGGGAGAGAGAGGGAGGGAGAGGGGCAGGGAGGGAGAGAGTTGTGGGGCTGGAGGGGGGAGGAGGATTGGGGCAGGGAGGGGACGGCGAATTAAAGAGAGCGAGGGAGAGAAGCGCGGGGCGAGTGGGGGGAGGGGGACGCGAGAGGCAGGCGGCGCCCCCCCCCTTTGATCTCGGTCACATGACACTGAGCACCCGAAGCAGCCTCCTCTCTCTACTCCCCCACCCCCAACCGCGAACCCCCCCCTCCATCCCTCCCTCCCTCCACCGCACAGAGCACACAGCCCAAACAATCCAACTCGCCCACCGGCTCCCCCTCTCTCTCTCACAGCGCTCTCCCACCCGTGCACCCCCTCCCTCCCAGCCTCCCAGAACCAACAACCCCCCCCCTCACCCACCCGGCCCCCACCCCAAACCAGCGACCCCCTCCCCTCCACCCACCACAAACCAGCCCTCCTCCAACTCACACACACACACGTGCACTCACATTCACACACACAAGGCAAAGATCCCCCATATAGCCTTGACAGACTGTTGGGGCAAGTGCTGTTAGCGAGCACCTATAAGCAACACACTCACATTCACACACGTTCACACACGCGCACACGTTCACGCACACACGTTCACACGCACACGTTCACACACATTTCTGCCCCCATACCCAACCCACAGCCACGGGGCTCACGTCTTTCTTCAGCCAATGTTTGTCTAGGGTCTAAACTATTCATGTCTATTAGATGGATCAGGAGATGCATTCAAATGGCCCCATTATTTATTTAAATGTGTAAGTATGTGTGTGTGTAGGGGGAGGGGTGGGGAGCGGTGGCTCAGTGGTTTGGGCATCGCGCTATGAACCCGGCAACCTGAGTTCTATTCCCGGCTACGGCCGAACATCACCGACTAAATAAATAAATAAATGCCCACGTCGGGCTTGGGGATCCCCTAGGCCGACTCGGCTTTAAACGTGCGCCTTGATGGCGGCGCGTAAACATCTCGGCACTGGGGCGTGGTGACTGGCCACACCACAGACCCTGGGGTGACGCTCCGGCCCCTTAATAGGTGCTCGCTAACAATCACTCTCTCGTAGACCCCACCCCCCACGGTAGGCGAGGTCGCAACAAGGGCTCCCTTCCCTTTGATCCGCGCCGCCGCGCTCTTTGTGACGTCGCCCCCGAGTTCACGAGGACCTTCGCTTCCCACCGCCACCATCACCACCATCATCTCGAGGTCTCCTCCACGGTGGGGGGCCTTTAGCACTGCCCCCCCCCCTGCCCCAGATACGCGAGCCGCTGCTGAAGCGTCAGAATCTCGGCGAGAGGCCCCAGTTCGACTCCCGGCCGCGGCGCTCCCGTGTCACGTGTCGCGGCGTCTGTTGGCGGGCGGCGGGCCGGGCGCGGAATGTGACCAACATCTCCCCAAACATCTCTCGTCAGCAGTCGGGCTGCACCATCCGGCAGTCGGGCTGCACCATCCGGCAGTCGGCAAGATCAGCAAGGCGGGAGGGGTCGCCCTGCACGGCGCTTGGGGTTGTGGCTCACCGACCATGGTGGATGACGACTGCGTTTGCTTTCCAGGCTGCTGCGGGTCTGCGTTTTTAGCAGCAGAGGGCAGTGCAGCGCAACACATTGTTGTACTCTACATCTAAGCTCCCGTGGAGGGGAGGGGGGGTATCGACTAAACTATTTTATTTTACCAAGGCCCACTGAGCTATCTAGCTATATTTCAAAAGCGACCTGACCACAACTGATAGCTTCAACTAAGTGTATTATTATCATCGTGATGTGGCAATGTCGAGCAAGCAAATAAACGCGTGGTGCTGTTAATTGTACACTTGGAGGGAAAACCCGGAGGAGCCGGAGACAAATCCACGCGACCACGGGGAGAGAGAGACCCGAAAACTCCAAATATGCAGCAGCAGGCGTCAGGGTCGGGATAGAACCCACGACCTCCTGCACACCAAGCGAGGGAGTTAACATTTCCTAGCCATCGCATTAAGGTCTACGCTCGCCACCTTCGCCAACCGCACTGACCAGCGTGGTGAAGTATGGTCAAACTACCCCCTACGACCCCGCACAGCATGGAAGGAGATCATCCAGCAGTGGAGTGACATGGAGCTGCACACGCACGCGTACGTGCGGACAAGTGGCTGATTCGTGACCTTTCCCGCCTCCGGTGCCAATTGGTATCGCATGCTGGCCTGGGACTCCCCTAGGTCGGATCAGACAAGATTCCAGCGTGCGTGGTTGCATTCCTTACCTCCATCACCACCCCTCTCTCTCACCCAACCCCGTGGTCGCCGTCGATCCGTGTGCTGTGTAAGCGCGCGCATCCTTCGTACGTATCAACAATCATCATCACTCACAGCCCTTTGTTAATCCACTGCTGGATGAAGGCCTCCCCACGCCTTGCATTCATGGGTGCAAGGTCGTCCATAATTCACCGCACCGGTCAGTGCAGGTTAGGGACGAGGAGCGGGGTGGACGCAGTCATCAGGTTCGAGTGTTCACTCACCACTCTCACGTTAGTCGTGGCCGGGAATCTAACTCGGGTTAACGGCCTTACATAGCAAAGCGGCCCAATCGCTCCGCCACCGATCCACCCCTTACACGTCTACAGTATAATGTACCGTATGTCGAACTTCTTTCGCACCGTACGTATCCAACCGCGCTAATCGGAGGTGCGGGGGGAAGGACAACAAACTAAAACACAAGACGCAGTTCTAAACACATTGACTCTACAGGATGTCTAGACAACGTGGAAGAGTAGGGCAAAACATTGGACATACCCAGTGGAAGCCCCGTTCGCTAGCAGTGGGGTGATCGCGCAATTGCAGGGCTGCGCCTCCTGCAGAGAGAGACAAAGGCGACCGGGCGGGCGTGGTGCTGGGCAACCCACCACGTGTCCCACAGCGTCGGCCTTCAAAGGCGCTGCTCACTCGCCACCAACAGCGCTTGCCACCAACCAGCCTCATGTCAATACGTCTTGTGTGCGAGTTTATTCGGAATTTCGCTCGCGACGTCCCCGCTGATTGAACCTTTCCCGAGGCCGTGGTTAGCCGCGTGCTTGGGGGTCTTTCAAGTCTCGCGTCGGCGCTCCGCGCCTGGAAACAATGAGAATATCTTCAAAAGATGCAGAGATTCTAAGGTAATACATTACCCCTCCCCCTCGCGCAAGAAGAGCGCACAAGTGACGTCATCACATCTACGCCTCTATATAAGGAACGAAACAGGAGGACTTCTCCACAAATCTGGCTGTCGCCTGATGAAGCCAGTTGTAATTACCGGCGAAACGTCGTACTCGGATTGTAAATGTTGTGGCTTGGCTGTCCAACACACCGGTGTGCTGTACTAGTGACGAATTGGCATGTTCTGTTTATGTGACAACCCTTACTAGTTGGCTATGTCGGGTGGTGGCGGTTTAACGACACAACATTTATATATTTACGCGATCTAGCGCACTCCGCTTACGAATCCACAAACGCGTGGCATCGTCGATTCGCAGCCACGGCTCACGGTCAGTGGCGACTTCTCTCAGCACCACCGCTCCCTTTGGGCCCTGCGTGGGGAAGCAGTGGCCTCGTGTTGCCCCCGAGAGGCTTTCATCCAGCAGCAGATTGACAAACGGCTGTACATTTTGCTTCAACGAGCCTATCGTTGCTTTCCAGAACTGTTCTTTCCAGCAGCGTTTTCTCTAAGCGAACTAACTCTACACCGGTGTTGACCTTCGGGGTCTCATCAGCAGGGCTGGGCTTGTTAAACAAATATTGCTGCGATGCCAGGGAATATTGGCGTTGTGCCGTTGTGCATAGGTATTGCACTGTACTATGGATCTAACCGCATCTCCCTCCAGGTGTCTCACTGCATAACACAGAAAGTCACGAGTCACTCCATGATCAGCATCGTCGCCCTCTCGGGCTTTCCAGACAAATATTAACCAACGGCATTGTTTTAAAGGAGCACGCTCTGGGGAGGTTTCGGCCTTTCAGTGTCTCATCAGCGATGTCGCACGCGACAGCTGGCCCGTCAAATACACACGGTATAAACAAGGCTGTGGTGTGCGTGTGTGTACGTGTGTTTGCTTACCTCCTGGACATCTGTGAAAAAGAGCTTTATAGCTCATCGGATTCCTCCAGTATAAATACATATTCTGATTCTGAACGTGGTACTCAGATTGTAAATGTTGTGGGTTTACTCTTCAAGACAGCCGTGTGCTGTACTCGAAACGAATTGGCGTGTTCTGTTTACGTGACAAACCTTACTAATTGGCTGTGTCGGGTGGTGGTGGGTGTAACGACACATTTACGGGAAATAAAAAACCTATATTATGTATTCAGATAATGTGTACGTGTGTGTATGTACGTGTGTGTATGTACTTGTGTGGGGAGCGGTGGTGTAGCAGTTAGCGTGCTGCCCTCCGAGCCCAGCAGCCCATGTTCGATTCCCGCTCACGTCCAACACCGGTGACGATTATCTGAATCAGTCCTGGGCCTCAATTTAGTACTGTACCTGGTACGGTGTGTAAACATCACCACTGGGGAGACAAAGGCGGCTGGGCGTGGTGTTGGCCAGCCACCTCCTCGTGCGCCGTTCCAGCCTTCATAGGTGCCCGCTACCAGCACTTGCCCCAATAGTCTGTTAAGGCTACACGGGGGGTCTTTGTCTTTGTTTTTTTGTCGTTACCAAATTTGTTATAATTGCATTGGCACCGGGATACAAGTTCCGAGGTGCGTCTTACTTTCCGGAACGCCGTAGGACGCGGAGTTTGTTTGCCGGATGAGAGGTTGCTGCGACGTGCGCAGGTAACGAATGCGCGGCTTTGTTGCTGGTGTAGAGGTGCTAACTACTCACTGTTCGGTGACCTGCATCGCCACTAAGTATCAAGGGGCAGTGCAGCGTTACCTCTCTGTGTGAATAACGGTTGGGGTCAGACGAGGTGAAGTGGATCGTAGCCACAGTTTGGTAAGAACCAATCAGACAGTTCCACGTGTGAGTGTGGGATTGGTTACACCTGGCCACAAA